CATACATACATACATACATACATGAGGACATATGTGTGTGTATATTATATATATATATATACATACGCATACATACATACATACATACATACATACATACATACATACATACATACATACATACATATAGTTACATACATACATAAATATATCCATGCATGCATGCATGCATGCATGGATGGATGGATAGATGGATGGATGTGTGCATGTATGTATGGATGTATGTATTTGCATCTGTACGATTGTGTGTACGTATGTATGTACGTTTGTATATAAGCATGTACGTACGTTTATATGTATGTATGTATGTATGTATGTATGTACGTATGTACGTATGCCTGTAGTGTTGTGAGTTTTACCATTTGCTATGTAATGTTATGCTTATTTAAAGTCTGTGCGGTACTTATATACTTTTGGATATACACTCACACACTCAATCTCCCTCACGCACATACGTTGGCTTGATCGGACAACTTGTGGTCACGCACTTTGCCTCCAAGGGCCCTGGGTTCCGGGGTTCAGGGTTGAGGATCGACGGCATGGGGCTTGAAGCGGGCGGCAAACCCTGATATCCCTGCCCTGGGATATTGCAGCATGACAGTAGCAGGAGTATAAAGGGGATAAAGCTACCAATCTGTCAAAGCATCATCTATGAAGCCTCCACCCCGGTTACCAAACACCAATCCCTGGAGCAGGCAACCTGAAGCTCCCGAAAGGGCGCAGGGCCGAATGGTTGTGGCAAGGCCAGAGGTGACAAGCCCGCGGCCTACATTGCTTCGATGCTCGGTGTTCTGGAGGGGTACTGGGATTCCCTTAGTGTTATGTGGGCGATGCAGAACATCGTCAAACTCAGCAGGGAGACGGCCGAGCTTTTTTGGGGGTGTGTCGCTCGCTAAGAACGAAAACATTAACCTGTATCTTCTGGCTGGAGCCATGTTCCACATTCAAACACGCCACGCCCTCCAAGTCGGAGGTCCCTAATCCCGAACACCTTAAGTGCAGAAACGCTACATCCTACTCGGATCGGATTGCATGTAGTTATGTCTCGGTCTTTCCATCTCTGTCTTCGTGTCTCTGTTGCTGTTGCCGGCTATTGCCTGCATACTTATCTATCAACCTATCTATCTGTCTATCTACCCGCCCATATATAATACCTTCTGCCAAATGTGTATATACACATATAGATTCATGCATGCGTGGATAGATCGATAGATAGATACATACATACGTACATGCATACGTGCATCCCAAGCGCAAACAACTAACTGCCTGAAGCCGCTGCTTGCGAGCAAGGGGCTTTGGGCATGGGCTTCGTACGCCACCTTGCAGCTCAGGATTTAGGCCAAGGCTTTCCTGATTGCGATTCTCACTGAGGCCCTCGAAATGACAGAACCCTTAGCCGCCTGGATGCGATTTCTGCTGCAGTTTGAGGGTTGAAGTCGGTTGGGATTCGAACGAGTAGGGACAGTTAGTAGATGCAGCATCGCCAGCAAAGTATCCTCAAACACTGTGCGCCGACCACGTCCTCATTCAGGCCACAGAGACATGTAGCAAAATCCACTCGAGTTGCAACTCGAAATATGGCCTCTGTTCGAGCCCTAAGTTGCCGGCTGCATAACAGTGTGGTCGTTGCCGCCGACGGTCAGCAGAATGTTGCCTGGCTAGCAACGGCCGCAGCTCGCAAGCGGTTGTTCTCAAATGCAACTGGTTAGTTCCCCTCAGCCACGGGCTAGCAGATACAAGCCGGCAAGGCCTGGAGTGAACTGCAAGTTTGTGACCTTGTCGAGTCGGCAGATCCAGTGACGACACAGCGTGGGAGTATTGGGTTTATCGCAATGTGCAGATGAAGATGTAAGCTGGTGTCTCATGTGCTATAATTTAATTATATCCCTGTCTAAGATCCTGCATACCCTGTGAACCCCAATCAGCCTAATATCCTAAGTGCCAAACCCAATGCTGTCTGGGACGCCTGGCTCATGACGATTTCTGACCGCATCCAAATCAGGGTCTACATAAGGATTCTTACCCTCTGAAGTCCAACACTCATGGCTCACAGACAAAAATACCTGTCCCAAGATGGTAGCTGAACTCCGGGGTCCCGGCAAAGGACGCATGGCCTAGGTACCTCAGAACAGCCAAGCGTCTAAACTCCAGGGTTGCCGTTGTATGTATGTATATATATATATATATTTGTGTATATATATATATACAATATGCACATACCTATACAAGATGTATACGTATACCTATATATATATATACACACACTCCTAGACTGTATGTATTAGGCTTATGACTTTCGGGGTACCAGGCTTAGGGTACGAGGAGAATTCACGATAGATGCGGCTACTTAATCTATGAAGGTATGACTTCTCGGGCATTACCGTAGGGTGCTAAGTCAGTCCATAGGGTTTACGATATTCGAATAACATGGTAGTTGCAAAAAAAAACTTTTTTAGGGTACTCAGTTTTAATCTTTATAGAGCAACATAGACCCTACAGCCAATCGCTAGCGTCACCAACGCTCAGAACCTCGGCATCTTCGCCAAATCCCGGACGGAAGTTCGCTTTATCTGCCGAGGTCGGCACTCACGCCCGGCAGCCAGAGACAAAGGTGACGGAAAGCCTGGCCCATTGCTTTCGGACACCCGCAGATCTCATCCGCTGTAACCCTTGGACTATGTAGCCTTGAAGATTGGAAGGTTCGTTTGGAAAGGGGCACAAGAACTTCGCAACGAAATGAGGCTGCGAGTCACGCACCGGGTCTTGAACTCCCAAGCACCCAACCCCAACCCTGTTGTACTTATTGAAATCGTCCTATCAGAAACCGGACAAGCGTCTTGGTGGACGCTTGGCCTGTGACAAACCGACCTTTCTTCCGTCTCCAGAAATGGGATGCTACGTTTCGACATTGCCTTCAAGAGCGGCCCAGATGCAGCAATTGCCGAAGTAATTACATGCAACATTGCTGGTCATTACCATGCCAGTTATTATGGTGAAAGGCGTCACAATTAAATGATACATATGATGACAACCGTAGTCATACCTCTGGTCGTAATAACGGCAGTAGACAGGATGTTAATGGTCTTTGCCTTCGACAGACTCTGCGGCGGTGTGACGATGGCCAAAAACCCGTTGCAGACGGACAGGCTCCACATCGCATGTTGGTCTGTAGCGGTATCAGTATTACAAGACCAGCCCAAGCAAAGCAGGTAGTAACATCACAGAAACAGAAATATCCCACCCTCGTGTTCAGAGTTCTTATGGGCAGACTTTAAAACTTACACAAGAATATCAGTTCCCTTTCTTGCCAATTTGGTGTGCTGGTTTCCGCAAACCGCTCGGAATCAGCGTCCGAGCTTCTACTGCACCACGCCTTCTACTGCGGGAACTAAGCCAGTGATTCCACATGACCGCTGTGATCTCCCTAGAGGCCCTAGACTTCTCCCCGTCTCCAAAATTCGCCGAGTCTGCATGCTTTCGAGAGCAAAGAGTCTCAAGCAAAGCGTTTACATAGGGTCTGGGTTCCGGTCCAAGCACATCAAGCAAAGGATCCTCAAACACCCAAACCTCCATGCTTGGTTCAAGGCATCACAACGCCCGCAAGCATCGAAGCACATGAATGGTGGCAAGTTGGAAAGCACTGGCAGAACCTCACTCATCGCGAATCACAACATGAAGATCCTGCCCTCCCACCCATCCCGCTGAAAGTGCCAGCCGGGCGGTAGAGCCAAATTGCTCCCTGGTCATCCCCGACTGCCATTACTTCCCCAGCAGCGGGGCCAGGACCTGTCGGTTCAGCTCTTGCCTATTGCATGCACGTGCCGACGTCGCTGGGACTCGGACATGCGCTTGTCTCATGGTTTCCCCCTTGACAAACTATCTCATTTGCTTTCCTGTGTGCATTTCGGGAGCAGGCCTTCGGTTGGGAGCTGAGGTTGGAACAGCAGTTTCTGGGAAAACAGCCGAAAGCTCTATGTAACCCAGGGCTGTATGAGATGCAATAATGCATCCGACAGCAAGTCTTGCGGGCTGAGAGCATAGAGACTTCTGTCATGTAGCCATGCACTAAGACCGGGGGCACGGACGGTATGGCTTTGCGCAAGAGCCCGCAACGAAAGCTGGAAGCCGAAGATCATACTGTTCAAGGCTTTCTGCGCGGGGCTGAAATGCTGTGACCAGAAAGCCTAGAGCGTAAGGCGCGCCTGATGCATGGCTCTGGCAGACGGCATTTACGTCGGACTGAGCATATTCTTGTCTCCAAACCTCGCACTGCAAGAATAAGGCTAAGGAGCAGTTATATTTTACCTCGTCTTAGCGGCTGTCGTCTCAGTCTTGGGGATAGAGCACGGGAGGAAGAATGAAGGGTCTTGTAAGGCTTGCCTAGCCGTTTTGCTGTGGACGAAGCACCAAAAACGTAGTCCGAATGCCTAGCGCTCAGGGTCTGCTGAACGTTTACAAGGATTAAACTTTGGTGGTAATCACACATGTGCCAAGCTGATATGGGGTTCAGAGTCACCCCATCAAGCTGTTTCAATGAGGGCAACGAGGTATATGCTGTCTGTAATTGAAATCTTTCGGCGAGTAAATGCATTCGACGTGCTTTCCCACCACTTACCTTGCAACCCCGAGCTCGGGGTAAAAGGGTGAAGGAGTGAAGATGCAGAAGGTTTGCGGTCTTCCATGTGTTGTAGTGAGATTTCCAGGACGTCTTCATCGCCGGGTCGATCCAACATCGAAACTTGACGACCCTTCGATGGCTTAAGTGGCTTCCAGATAAGGGACTCCGGCCACCGGGAATCCCAAAGGTAACCGCCAGCACGAGAACTGGGCGTCTCGAAGCGATGACGTTTTGCTGATGCGCTCCTTGGTGGCGAAAGAAAAAATCGCGTACATATGTCATGTTGGTTCTGCGGGAATTACCAGCCCCGACACCAGATTTGCAGTCCAAGGAGTCCAAGGTTCACTGCAACATTAGCTTCGGCATAACAGCTCCTGCTGATGCTACTACTGCCAACATTGTCCCCACCATGACCACGAAGGACAAAACATATGTGGCGGTGCTATTGCCACACCATCACCTTGCAAAGCCGAAGCCCTAAAACCCTAAACCCCTAAAACCCTAAACCCTAAAATCCTAAAGTCCTAAACTTCTAGGACGCCGACGAGCGACAAGTCGCAAGGTCTCTGATGGAGGCAATCGTAGAATTACTCCACTCTAGGGTCTTTGGGTAACTTATAGCGTATGTATATATATATATATATATATATATATATGTATATATGTATAATATACACAGATTATTCCGCCCGTATATTTCCGGTGGGTTTTGCAGGGTTCCACATTGGCCTCACGAGCTGAAGAACAAACTGACGACTGTAAGGCTTGGTTATCAGTGGCTCGGAGCAAAACCTCGGCACGGTGATTGCGCAGAATACTTTCAGCAGGAACTCCAAGCTAAGGAACAGCTGACATAGACCCACGACTATATTATCTCAATTACGCTCCCTTCCAAAGCCCCTTGATACCCCTGAAACGGCGCCCCGAACATGACAAACAACTTCCATACCCCATGGGTTGCAATCAGTGTCCCTTGGAGTGAGGAACCCTTCGTCTCCCTAAACCCTAAACCCTGAACCCTGAGATGCTCCTATTTACAGCTTGCAGCTGCAGCTTCTCCAGTTCCCGTCTTCCATACCAGGACATTCAGATCCTTCGAGGTCGACACCTGGATTCTGCACCGGTAAGGCTTGTCATGATAGCAGCATGTCTTGGTGCCCCAGGTACTTATGAGCAGCGATGGCAAGGAACATCCTCCTCCTCCTTATCATCATCATCATCATCATCATCGCCAACATATTCATTACCATCGTCATCGTCATCACCATACTCCCAAAGTGAAGTCTTTTCCTCATCTGGTTGATCTTCTTCTGAAACCTTGATTAAGCAAGATGTTCAGGAACGGCTGCAAATCCAAACCCTGCATGCTAAACGCCACGCATGACTCCACAGCCCGAACGCTGAACTGCATGCTTGCTTTTGTCAGGTGGTACGAACAGCTCAAGCCATGGCCTAGGGTTGGGATTCAGAGTTTTTTTGGTGAGCCCTCTTTTCTCTCGCCCATGTCTGGGTTTGAAATGCCAAGTTTGGCTGGGTGGTTAGGGGAGACCTTTTGGCGGGATTTACACCTACCACTGCAATAATTCTACAGCTCTGCCTGCAACTAGTCCAAGATAACAACAAGCGACTCTGAGTCTAAGGTAACAACAGGCAGACCCAGATAGGTACAGTAGAAACTCCAGCAGGGCATACTTCCAGACAGAGCTAGCAGCATCTGGTCCCCGGGCACTAGCTGGTTTCAAAGCCCACGACTTTCCAGAGACTCCAAACCACTCTAGCTAAGGAATATGCCGTAAATCAGATTTAGGACAATAGAAGACCATATCATCTAACTATTATAACATAACTACTCTACCATAAGGATCCCTACTGTTTAGTACTCCTAAAGACTTCGGGAGTCTCTGGGTTCAGGGCGACTTTGGGGAAGTCCGGCCGTAGCCAGGCAGTCCCAGGCTGGAGAACAAGATTAGAGTCGCACAGGATCGGGTGCAGACATTGGCTTTCACACCACAGCCCGAGACCCTAGATCTGATAGAGACTTTAGGGTTTAGGGTTTCGGGCTAAGCGATGAAGCCTATCTACCTCCAGGTAACGGTTGTAGGCTGTCGGGAAGTCAGGGTGATCCTGCACTGTACGGAGGTGCAAAAGCGAAGATTATGCACGGCCCAGCTGTTCATGCCAACGGCAATCAGGCCCTCAACCTCCAGACGTATGAGGTGTCAAGAACGGCATGGGCTTTCTGGGGCAGGGCAGCAGCCAGCCCAGAATCAAGCTGTCAGAAGCGATCTGCAGAAACCTCGTATGTAGGTCAAGAAAAGCAGGCTCCCTTGAAAGGTGTGTTGCTTTCAGGCCGGCGATGAGGGGCTCAGGTCTTTGGGGTATAAGGATCTCAACTCCAAGTCCTCGGTACACCGATTTTGAGATACCGCTCTTCTTGGGAAAACATATCGCTCGAGCGGAAACTCTTGCGTGCAATCTGAGCAGTCAGATCGCCAATACCTTTTTGCAGCCCACGGCGCTACTCTGAAGAAGATACCCCGGTTCTTGAAGATTCTACAGCAAGCTGCAGCGACTGCCCAGGCTTCTGGCGTAACTGCGACCACTGGGAGAGATGCCTCTTTCAACTTTACGGGAGAGCAAGCATCTGCTCGCCGAGAAGCAGAACGGACGCTTAGGGTTCAGGGCCCTACACACGCCCCAAGCCCAGCCCTCACCTTTTTTCAGAAATAAGCTTTCAGAAATAAGCGGCTTAAAATCACGAGCCCGAAGCTGACATCGCAGCTGCGAGCGAAGTATCGAGCGCGGATTACCCTCCACCCAAATATACTTTTGGAGCCCCAAAAACATCCTTTTTCAAGTCTAAAGCCTCGGCTCCCCTTTAAAAACGTCTAGCGGAGGGTAATGGGATCCATGCTCACACCGTTGCCTCAATTGGACGGACTGTTGGGCCGATCCAGGCTTGTCCGAACTCACCCGAGCCAGGCTCTGAGATGAGCCTTTGCGGCCTTTAGTTGTTGTCATGACCATCGGCGATCTGAATCTGGCTGTGTCTGCCTGGCTCATTCGGACACTTAGGAGCAAGAGATGCTATCGCGAGAAGACATGCAGCAAGAACCTCCTTCAGCAATGGGGCTTAATTCAATGAGGCAAACACAAAGACAAACTGTTCTGCACGTCTTCGAATGTTTTCTCATACAGAAACTGGCAGACCATTGAGAATCAATTCTTGCAGGTCCCCGGGCGTACTTCCGGCAAGGCGCATAACGGAGCGTTTTAATCCTTTTCTGCTGTCGGTGTTTGTTGGGCTCAGGCTTGCCCTGGTCGAAGCTGAGTTCGGATCAGTCTGGCACGGACGCCGAGGCGTCGTCGGTGAAGAGTTAGAACGTTGTAGCTGTGGACGCTTCCGTGGCGGCTTGGGCAAGCGGTCAAGGATTTTCTGCCGTGAGAGCTTGACCTTCTTTGCCTTCAGTCGCGGCAAACTTGAACCGATGACGTCGTTGAAGAGCTCCTGGCAGGTGTCGCCAATCAGATGGCGTGGGGCAACTCGGTTTACGAGTGTGCCTGCGTGGAGCTTACTTGCCACGACGTAGTCGCATGCATCAAGCACCAGCAGTCCGGGCAGACTTAATCCTTCTGCTGCTATCGCATAAACTGGCTGGCAAAGGTTCCGGAGACTTTCGGCCACCCTCGTCCACAGCAAGAGGCTATCCTCCCATCGCTCCCGCTTGGAGCCTTCCAAGACATTCACGAAGACTGCCGGGATGGACCATCCAAGACCATGGATCCTCAGGATCTGGTCATGGCTGTCGGACAGCGAAGCATCGTCAGCGTCCTCATGCACGGTCAGCACGAACACCATGTTCGGCGGGATCTCCTTTCTGCCGAGGGCCCAAGGCGTGGATCTCGCCTCTAAAGACCCCTTCGTGCCGAAAAGCTGCCTTGAGGTTCAGAAATTATGGTTTAGGGTTTAGGGAGAGTGTTCCGGACGTTGAGATCGGAAGCGTCACCCAAAAAGATCCAGAAGCACGCCGGGATCTTGTATGTCGCTTTCAGTCTTCTGGGTTGGTTCCAGGCAGCTACATGCTGAATCAGTGCTGAAATACTTCTTATCAGTATGAATATTTTCTGGAACGGAGGAGTTTGCGGTTCAAGCCTTTGGGGCTTTACTAAGGTGCTGTTGAGACTGCCAGTTTGGTGCTAAGCTGTCTGTGCACTGGAACTAAGCTCTGCGCAACAAATTGGGCGTCGTCGGTGAACATCACGTGCGTGGGTGAGGACGAGTTGCCCGACAGCGCACCCTTGAAGGCGACTTCCTGAAGTAAAATATGGGTAGTTCTCTAAATTATAAGAAGCACCTAAAAGGGACCCGAATTTAGAGAACTACCCATATACAATCGCGACAGATAGAAACCTTATGAAACGCAATGGTGCCGTTAGCCTTTGCCTTGACCTAGTTTAGGGGTGTGTTCGCCTAACTCTCATGTTAACACTTGGTTCTGACCCGGCCAGTGCTTTGCAGCTCAGCCAGCTGTATTCTTGACACATTACTTGCAGATTCTCCCTCCGGCGGTCCCTGACCTCGTAACTATCTTATTTGCCTTCAGTCCAACTGCGATCCCACTCTCAGCTGGTCGTACCCCAAGTCTTGAGAATCGGACACATCTTGAAAAACACACACTAGAAAGTTAGCCTGTTTGGCTGTTATGTATCTGACTTTCCTTACTTGCTCTACTGATGTGTTTAAATGTTTGCTTATGCTCGTAATTTGCTTACTTCATTGTGTGCTTGCTTACGTGCGTAGTGTTTGCTCGCTGGCGTGCATACTTGCATGCTTGCATGTTCGTATGCCTGTATGCTTGCTTGCTCGCCTAGCTACTTAACTTAAACTTTACCAGCTTGTTCACTATGTACTTACTTACTTGTCTCGTATGTTTAGGGTTTCGGCTCTAGACGGGCTTGGACTTCTGACAAATCAAATTAGTTTCGAACATGTTGATCCTAAACCCCTGGCAAACGCCTCTTCTGCTTTGGAGTCGGGCAGAGGGGTAAGGGAACAGGGTTTCTTTAGGGCCTTAGGATTTTGCGATGCTGGGTTTGGCATTCTCTTCAGTCGAAGCAGATTTAAACAAAGTTGAGCAAACACACAATGTCATCAATGGTGTCGCCGCCAACGTATGGCCAGCCTAAATTGCCGAGTCATGACTCGAAGACATTAACCAAAGTTTCAGAGTCATGGAATGGGCCATACCAACAACAATCGGAGTTAGAAGATAAGTTCTCGAAAAACTTCAGACAATCCAACCGCCTTGATCCGTAGATTGGAGAAGGACCGAAGGCCGTGGGTAAAAAATCCGTGCATGTATCCTCAGCCCGTAGTGTCTGAATTCCAGTCAAGTACAGTGCGAACCACCAGAAGTGAAGGCTATCAAACGCAAACATCCAAATGATTCCCGACGCCATGCGTTTACTGCACCGTCATCACCAGCATCAAAGACCAGCTGATTAAAACACAAACCATCCAAGGAAAGCGGTGGTGACGGTAGTGCAACCAGTCATGCTACCGACAGGGAAGTAGCAGCAGTAGTAGTAGTGGTCGTCGTCGTGCTGATGGTCGCACTGGTAGTAATCGAAGTAATGGTGTAGTGGTGGTGATGGTTGTGCTTGCAGTTCTGGTAGTACTGAAATTTATGAAAATACTAGTAGTAGTAGTAGTCGTCGTCGTCGTAGTAGTAGTAGTTTTAGTAGTAGTAGGAGTAGGAGTAGCAGTAGCAGTAGCAGTAGCAGTAGCAGTAGCAGTAGCAGTAGTAGTAGTAGTAGTAGTAGTAGTAGTAGTAGTAGTAGTGGCGGTGGTGGCAGTGGTGGCGGTACGGTGGTGGCGGTACTGTGGTGGTGGTGGTGGTGGTGGTGGTGGTGGTGGTGGTGGTGGTGGTGGTAGCAGTAGTAGTAGTTGTGGTAGTAGTAGTAGTAGTAGTAGTAGTAGTAGTAGTAGTAGTAGTGTAGTAGTAGTAGTAGTAGTAGTAGTTGTTGTTGTTGTTGTTGTGGTAGTAGTGGTGGTGGTGGTAGAAGTCGTCGTGCTAGTACGTGGCAGTGGCAGTGGCAGTGGCAGTAGCGGTAGCAGTAGCAGTAGCTGTAGTAGTAGCAGTAGTAGTAGTAGTAGTAGTAGTAGTAGTAGCAGTAGTAGTAGTAGTGGTGGTAGTAGTAGTAGTAGTAGTAGTCGGGGAAGAAGTAGCAGTAAGTGTGGTGGTAGCCGCAGCAGTCAAAATAAGAGGAGGAGGAACTCGTAGACGCAGCAGCAACAGCAGCAGCAGCAACTAGTGACAGTCGTGGCTCTTGCTGTTAACTGTTGCGGCTGCATCGTACCAGTAGCAGCATTTGCCGCAGAAGTGCTGGACACGATATAAGAACAATATTGTCGCACCGGCCAGTTCATCACTTACCGCCGCAAACAATGGAAGCTACTGGAATGAGGTGTTGCCCTAAGTGTGCCACCCGGTTGGAGTAGGAGATTCTGGAGTGATGTTTGCAATTTGTTCCTCTCTCATGCCGGCCCAAAAGCTTCACAGTCCTGATGCCACTGGGAGGTCTGTCTGACCTCTTTCTTCTGCTTCCAGAAGATGCGTAGGAGGTAAACGTTCTGATCCCAACCTCTGATTGGGAGGGGTTGGTTCTTGCAGCCTTCCAGCTCCTCTTAATTAGCGTTGCGGATCTGAGGTACAGAGAATGATCATGCCTTGAGCACAGGAAGCTGCTGATGGTTCTGAAAAGTCATACATTTCGCTGTCACATTTGTGGACCTGGCCCGAAAGAATAAATACTGGACTTTAGAATGTACACAAATCTGCTGCCGTGCTGCCGACTCACATCACGTCTCTTGCAACAATGATTATTGGAGGAAAAGCAGTTCACGCTCCTGACAGGCCGTCCAGGATCCTCCGCTCACACTACAGCTCGTAGCTAAGGAAGGGGTGTGATCTCATGCAGCAACTAGGAATCGCAAGAGCACGAGCTTGTCATCGAACAGGCGTTCCCCCAGAATGACAATATCTGCACCATGCATGCAAGTAGCTGGCGCATGCAAGGTAGCGCGACTTTGCGCCTGGGTTGCCGCACAGGCATGCAGTAGTTGACCCTCAGCTACATTACCCTAAGCCCCCAGGTACCTACTATATAGGGTACCAGAGCCTCTAGGGCCATATATAGTAGGTACCTGGGGGGGTTAGGCTTAAGGGCTACATTGACCAGCTCCTGGTCTGCACGCAGCTCTACAGTGAATCTCAAGCATCCATGCATGGCGCAACGGCAGGAAGAAGATCAGGACGTTACAGTTGGGGCTTCGGCAACATCAAGATGTATCAGGATGCTGCGTTTGCGGTTCAAAGGCATGGAGACAGCGATGTTTGACAAATGCTCTAGAGGATCCTCCTCTTAGTTTACAGTATAGGCTTCGAGGTGCCGCATGCAACCAATGCCTAGCGGCTTCGGATAGCGCGCTGCCCTGGCGAAGGCCCACAGCACCGAACTGTCACAACGTAGGCTTTAGACCCTGAAGCCATTTATCGCGCAGGCCAAACCGATACTCTGACATCTGCATGCCCTGGATCAAGTGACTGTCAGCATAGTTCGAGAAGGCGATCCAGGAAAGAACTTCCCCGTCCTGGAGGCGACTGCTCACAAAGCTCAGTCAGGCCTTTGGGAATTTGGGATTTAGAGTTTCTGGCAAGACAAACTTCACTGGTTCATCGTGGTTCTTGGAGGTCCCATCTCGGATCTTCGGAACGCAAGCCCGAAATTGCTTCGAATTTGCGGCCCGGAACAGAGTCTGCAACAGCTGTAAACCTTAAACCCTGAACTAAAGAGCAACTCCTCTACATGGAACCCCCACTGTCCAAGTTCTGCGAAGAAACCCGGACCCTAAAGTGCAAAACTCCATCGAACCCCTAAGCAAGGCCTTCCCCGGACGCGAAAGCCGGCGGTGAAAGATACCTGCTCGAAGGCTGTGGAAGCTTCAGGTCTTTGAACTTCTGTGTCTCCGTGTTGAGATCAAGGGTTTAGGGTGTGATGATCTGACGCTTTAGGAGTTTGCGTTCGGCTTCCGATCGGTTCGGAGCTACTACAATTCTGGGAATCCTGGCGCCGGAAGCCGTAAAACCATCTCTTGCCATCCGCTAGCATTCGTCAGATCGGATGCCCCGAAATGAAAAACCAAAACCCGCGCACAGCCACCTCCAATCTCCTTGAATCCTTCCCAAAATCCGAAGAAGCTGATTGCGATGCACAGCTACCCCAATCCAAGGATACTGGTTGATGACACACACTGCAGAAGCACTGCACTGGATTGGAGCTTCAGGCTCCCTAACTCCGTTTATGATCAGATTCTAAGATACCTCTGATACCTCTACCAGCTCGTGACCTGCTACTTGTATCATCGTGCAACACCCTCTCTGAGTGTCACAGATCCAGTCCTTCAAGCGAGGGGAAGTCCAAGAGCTTCAGGAGACCAGTTGACTGGCCCAAGGCCAACATGTCGCCTCCCGGTGGTGGTGGCGATGGTGGATGTGGTCATGGCAGTGACGAGGCAGGTGGCAGTGCTGCAGCGAACTCGCATTCGTCGGTAAGTATATTCTGAGGAAGACTGCCCACACCAGAAGCCGCTGGGTGTCTGCAGACACTTCGAAAGTGATATACCCTAGCTGGGGACCATGCGCATCCTTTGACCCCTAAACCCTGTGGACACCACGCTTGCACACTCTTCCACCCAAATCCTTCACTCAGCTCTCTTCACCACAGCCCCGGCCCTGCTTCCAAGAGATGTGCAGGATAGCATGGATGCACAAGTCAAGACACTCACCTCATGCCGGAAAGCCCAAACCAGTCTCCTGACTTCCAACTGCTTTAAGTAAGAGGTGTTTTGGCAACCTCGAAAGTTGCACAAAGAAACTCCGCAACTGTTCGGATTAACCTGGGCAAAGGCTGCACCCTATAACCCTAAACCCTCAGCAACCAACAAGGGAACCCACACAACATAACCCTAAATCACCCAAACTGACCTGGCCTTCGGGGGAGAAGGCCAGGCTACGGACGGCGAGGTCCGACCGGTACACCTTGTGGAGGAGGGGCCTCTTGGCCTCCAGGGAGTCGCATCGGTTTATCAAAACACGGCACCGGCTAAAGACCCCGTGCATATCTGCAACCGCTTATCACTGCCTTTATTGGTCTCGTTTCGCAGTTCTACTTCTGGTTGCGATGAATGTTCGCATCGCAGTACTGCGTAACAATCCGGTATATCCATCATATTGCCTCGGTTCATAATGCAAGCACGACTTCCTTAGCCGTAGGCCCTAGTCATCCACAGAAGGCCTCCAAGTCCCAGAAGTGAATCACCTGAGCAGCTGTGCTGTGCTGCTGCAAACTGCTGAGAGCTGAGTGCAGGGGAAACGCTTCTGACATGTCCGTTGGTACCACGCTCGATCCACAACGGGTAAACTATGGATCTGAATCATGAATGCAAACCACGCTTAGATATCATGGCCCGACATCACTTTTCGCCCCCCCTCCCCCCTGCCGAACAAAATCTGATCGGCCAGGTACAACATGACCCTACACGAGCCTGGTATAACTTCTAAACTAAAACAGACTTTCCACCGAACAACCTCAAAATCCTAGCAATATGTTTTGGACACATGTCCATAGATATTGCAGGCCAAGCTGGCATAAACGATCGCCTCTGAGCCCTCATAACAGCCAAGTGGCACCCCGCTCGTCACCGGTGGCGCAGAGCTCTAGGATCTTCGGGTGTGGTGCGAGCGCAAAAGCTTCGACCTTGTGACCCACCTGCGAGCAATCCGGCCTACGGGCTTCGAATGTTTGCCAGACCTTGACTTACGTCGTCCGGCTTGCTGGTGATGCACCTTGGCTCTGTACTGCGTATGGCGTCCACGCCGGCATCCTAACCCCAAAACTGGCGATATTGCTCCAAAATCCTAGGACCATAAGAATCTGCAGCCCTAGCTGCCAGATTCAAACTCCCCGGGCCTTCAAACCTGAACCCTCCAGTGGTTCGAGTCGGAGCCTAGCTTCTGGTCACCCCAGGCGGTCCCAAAGTTCTCAACCCGGAAGGCTCAGGGTTCAGTGTTTAGGGTTCAGGCTTTGGGGTTCAGGGTTTAGGGTTTAGGGTTTAGGGACCTCGGAATCGTGGACACCACAGAGCTTCGCCTTTCTGTTGCTCCTCCGGCGTGTCGTGCCCTGAACACTCGAGCTAAACCTGAAGCCCGAAGGACCCAAACTTAAACCCTCAAGATCAACTCTAAACTTAGAACATCTATATGAATATGTAAACCCTGAAAACCCAAAGCTCCGAAGTCCAAACCTTCAAAACCCAACCCATCCGGCAGCCTGCAAAATGCGAAGCAGCCGACGGCTAGATCCTGTTGTCAACCCCGGTGCTTCAGGTATTAAGATTTTCGGGTCGGTGCCTGGATATTTGTCCTGTCCGTTCCTTTAAAAATCCGTAGCGCTTCTTCGTCTAGGAATTACTAGGGATGAGAAAGTGAGCTGCACTGGCTTTCGACGACTCCAAGATTTCCAAGTATCCCAGTCATGAACCTAGTGGGCTGAGAGGTTTCTTCCAGGCCAGCAGCCGCTATTTAATCGGAGTAGGACACCGTGAAGCCCAAGGGAAATCTAACAAAGTAGCCACTCATTTATTACCTGCTGAGGAAAGGCCGAGACTTGCGAAACTTTCAATGTCCTAGACGTTCGAAATAAGAAATGCGACACCTGCTGCGCAAGTGCATGTCTTGGTGGGCAACGACTGCCACAGAGCCGTAATCCGAGGACAATTGTCAAACGGAATTTGGACTAAGTTAGCGACTTCTGCCAGCCGAAAAGTTGCAGCAAACGAAGCTTGAAACATGTGACTTAGGCTGCCAAGCATCTCTAATCCGTCAGGAGAGGAAACTTCAAGCTCCCAATAGGCCGATCAAATTCTTAGCACCATCTAGATGCTCCGCGTCGAACCAACAAAAACAAACGAAATGCCCACACCGCTCCCAGTGGGGCTGGACCACAACAACCAAAAGCCCAAAGCATTGTAAACTTAGGGTTTAGGGTTTAGGGTTTAGGGTTTAGGGGTTTAGGGTTTAGGGAAACCCCTAAACCTACTTGGAGGTTCATGGGCAGTTATAAGTGAGGTTATAAGTACGGTAACTATAGTTATAACCCCTTTTAGGGGACTTATAACCCCACTTATAACTACCCATGAACCTCCAAGTATCGCCTGAAGCCCCAAGGACCCCAAACCCCAAAGCCTGAAAAAAAAACCAAACACCACATTCCTGAAGCAGAGACCCCAAACCCTAAAACCCTAACCACCCTAACGTAGGGACCTTAAAAGTTAGAATCGGGTTTTTGAGGTATATCATACTAGAACTATGACCCCCCCCACCCCCCCCACCCCCCCCAAAAAAAAAGTATAGGTAATGATTAAGGCCATTCAGGCCCCTACATTAGCGGCATCCCTCCCACCCCTCCCGGACAAGAACAGATCCTAACTTCCGGTCCTTCTCGAAGGCCCAGGTCCAAAAGAACCAGCACATGGCCGGCGGAGGCGGCTATACAGAGACCTTGCTCCTGGAGAGTGGACAAGAGCAACGATACAAGTATCGGATACAGCAATAAGACTGGCAATGCGAATAACAAGACTAACAATGACAGTAAGCTTTAGGGATTTGGACACGGACATTCAGTTGTTCAAGCTTAAGAAGAAAGTGGGAGCTTAAGGTTTGGGCTTAGGGGTTAGGGTCGGCATGGACCTGTTGCAGCCTAGTGCTAGTGGCAAGGCAATTAGGCCGTGTGCCCTCAAAACTCAGAGAAGCATCACGGCGAGGTGGCCCCATTGCCAGGTCACTCCTCTGGACTTTCCTATATCGCCTGCTTCCCGATTATTTTGAGGGTGTTGTGTACAAGCCGGGCTGTAAGGATTCTGGTTTCAGCAGTCTCGATCATTTGGCGTGGATACTTGCGGATTCAATGCAAGGGGGAAAATTATTTAAGGGCCTCTGCAATCAACGAACCCGGGGACAACGACCCGAAGCCATGAATCCTCAATCCTACACCGAACGCCCTGCAGGATTGAATGAACACTGTGCTCGATGAGTGTCCGGCTTTTGTGCTTTGGTGGCTCCGGCTCCATCTAGTCAGCCGTGTAAACTACTGTGTAAAGCTACCGTTCAAGGGCTTGCGTTTGGGATTCAACTTCATCTGCCATGCCGGTGCTTGAGAAGGATAGAAACTCGACAGTGACGAGCAGAAGTTACACTAAACCCTGTCAAAACCGTGACCTTCGCAAATGAGAGCCCGCTAACTTTGATAACATCCAAGCAGCATTTACTTGCAAACTCTTCCAGTGGGGACGCAGATCTTTCGGCCAAACCTTCAAACGAGTCTTGGTAAAACGTGTTCAACAAACAACTGTGTGGTGGTAACTTCTACAAACAAGTGCATCATCAATACCTAGTCGTCTGTTCTTGTGTCACGGCCCTCCGCCGAAGTTGTCACGAAGGCTCTTGTCCTTGCTGCTGGCGCTGTAACGGTTGCGGTTCCTTTCGTCATGTGCATAGGTTGGTTGCAGTATGATCTGCAGGAAAAATCAGTTTTCTGAGGAAGCTGACACAAACTCATTTAGCAAGGCAGCCCGGTCAACTAGTTCAGAATGCTGATGAGCACCTCCAGAACCTCCCGACCCCGCATTAAACAAATCCAAAAGATTCTAAAGCTCACACACGACCCTAATCCACGAATCTTGCTCGACCCAGTGGACGAAGCTGACCCGCACAACTGCCTAGAGCCGCAATTCTGGACGCAAGAATAGCAAGCTGCCGTGGCTTGGCACAAAGCGCATGGTCTCTGCCTCCTGTATTCTCTTCAGGTCAAGCACGGTAGCACAACAAGTAGACGTCCGCCAATGGAACGAGCAGGTGGCAAGTGACAATCCAACGACGGTTCTTGAAAAGTCTCAGCTCAGTCATGGCTGACAGAAGTTTGCTGCAAGCCAGGCTCCGCGAGCTCACCGAGTCTCTTTGCCCCAAGTCTGTACGCTCGATCGAATTCACGACTGCCGACTCGATTGTGTTAGCACACGGGAGGTACGTATGTATGTATGTATGTATGTATGTATGTACGTATGTGTGTAGAGCAGTATGCATGGGAATTAAAAAATATTTCATTTCGTCGTCGCTCTTATACATATACACATATGTATTGTTGTATCTATTCATTCATTCATTCATTCGTTCGTTCGTTCTTTTATTCATATATAGATATAGAAAAGTATTACGGTTCATATTTGTGAGTTGGAGTGAACTTTGATCGAAGCAGACATCTTGCGATAATATGTAGCTCTTTACGGCGTGTTTTCTGACATGCTTTCTTTCTCCAGGTACATGGTCAAAAGAAATCAAAAAGCGCCCCCCTGTGTATCTTGAAAAAGGACACGCACAAACCCATACGTAGACTAACCATTCATAGTTACAAACTAATTACTCTATGTATCTCCATGTGCCAGACAGAGAACACGGGGGAGGGAGGCAAATAGCGACCAAGGAAAGCCTGCAAAGAAACAGTCAGAGTTGCTGCAGCCGCCTGGTTCGGCTCCGCAGGAACCTCCCCCAGATTGAAGCGGACGATGACGCAAGGTCTCGGCTGTGTGAGAATTCTGGATTCCAGTTGGAGAAAGAGATAGATTACACCTGCGGCTACAGTCTTGAAAAAGCGGGGAGCCGTGCATCAAGGTCTTCATTCCAAATCTTATACCTTTGCGCAGTAACGCAGAACCTACCGCTCGAAATACCGAAGCAAGAACTACTGTCGTCGAGAGCTGCTGTTCCCACACGATCGACTCAGGATTTGCAGGTGATACCGCATTGCTGTAGAGCCGAATTCCACGTACTAAGCGCTTCAGGAACCGATGCCCTGAATCTTAAACCCTCTGATGGCTTCTATTGCGTTTGTAGTTCTTGTTGTTTTGCGGCTTGTGCTATAAGTAACAGTACACTGCTACGATGATCGCGATGATACGTCTGCGCCCGGAACAGAAAATATGTGAGCATCCCCAAGCCGAAAGGTCCAAACTTCAGACCTTCAGTCCAAAAACTCCGATGACTGAGTCGGAAGGATTTTAGATCCCCAGTTCCCAGATTCGCCAAAACCCCCGCAGCCCTTGAACCGGCGAATTCACGATCCTCCAATGCAGGTGAGCCCGTGCTTCCTGCACCTGCACCCCCCGACTCAAAAAATCAAGACGGGTTGCAACATCAGGATATTATGTTGTCATCATGGCACCGTGAACACGCAACCCTAAACCCTAAATCCTTAACCGCAAATCCTGACGTTCTGGGCCCTGTCATCGGCCTGTGCCCCAGCTTCTGCTTCTTGCCTCGAATGGCCTCCTCCTTGCGAGGCTTTGGGGTTACGGAGTGTCTCAAATCCCGAGGAGCCCTCTCAAGTGCCGAGGGGTACGAGTCCAAAGTTCAGGCTTGCCGGATGTAGTTACTGAAGGCAGCTTGCTTGAGAATCTATGGATTCGAGCGCGAGCCGGAAGACAATACCCATACAAGCTTTCTCTAGAGCTCTAACATTCCAAGCCCGGACTGCGTGAGGCCCCTAAACCTTCAAGGAACCAGCCCTAAACCCTAAACCCCAATTAAACCCTAAACCCTGAAAGCCTGCAGCCCTGCCTGCTCCGTGCGGCCCAGCATGAAGCTGCCATCGCTGGCGCCAACAGCGAAGTGAAATGCCGAACCTGCACCAACGGAGGGTTTAGGGCCTGGGGTTCAGGGTTTAGCTGGTGCTTACATACCCTTACAGTACATCCCAAGCAAAAACGACTACAATCCTCAAGCCACTAGGCCGGACACCACATAACCTTACCACCCAACCATGCTAAAGAGCTTCTCTGACTTTTCCTCGATTCCACCTTGTCCTTCTCTCGTGACACGGGCGCGACACATAAAGGCCGGTGTCGAAACTGCATGTCATGTGCATGCTTTGGCCGGCTGGTGCTTTAGCCATACTAGAATAACCGACTCCAAACTAGGTGGGTATTTATTCCCCAAGTTCATAATCTCGTGTCATCGGCACGAAGAGACGTTGTGCTCAAGCGATGCCCTGGCCCTTCTGCATCTCGCTGCTCATCACCCCATAGACCTCAGTCCAGGACTCTTTGGTTTCTGGCGTCCAAAGCCCCTTCGGCTCCAGCACCTTCTCGAGAACCGTCAGCAAGGTCTTGCCTGCTGCATCGTAGTGCTCCTTAGTGACGTCGTGGTAGGCGTGCCGTTCACCAAGGTAATTCAGCACCGGGATCAAGGTGGGGACGTCGTCCAGACCCTTCACCGCCTTGTCCACTGTCTGGGTGAAGCCCGCGACATGCTTATCGAACTTCTTCTGCTCGGCCTCATTTACACGGTCGCCGAAGCTGAAGAGGTCTTTGGTGGACTGGTCGGCCTCGAACAGAGCGTCAAAGATCACCGTACCCACGGCCGTGAGTGTCTCCTTGGAAGTGTCTGGGCAAACTTCTGCCCAAGAACTTTGGACCAGATCCTTGTCGAGTGCAGACCGTGCAGTCCTTGTGGAAGAGAGTGCAGCACGCGCCCCAGCGAAGGCGTTGCTGGCAGGAAGGCCAGCTGCGCAAAGGGTTGCAACAGCCAGCAAAGCGAATCTAGTACGCCGGCGAGCTGGGACTGCGGACATCGCGGCGGAGGCAGGGAAACACTTTCAGAACCTCTCTGCGCGATAACAAAAAGCAGTCGAGCATTCATTCATGCAGAACAAGCCAATGCCAGCTCAAACCATGGGAACCAACACCCACAGCAAAGCTCCCAAGCCTCTGCAGTGGCCCAGGGGGACTGCACAACCAAGGGAGCTGGAGACAGACGCGGAGTTGTGGCAGGTTCCTCCCTCCACCTTCGGTTGGAAGCCGAAAGACGTCGAAAACTCGTGAACTGCTCCCGTTGTTCGGAATTCCGAGTTTTGGCTATGGGGTAGTAGTAGTAGTAGTAGTAGTAGTAGTAGTAGTAGTAGTTGCCGCAGCAGTAGTAATAGTAATAGTACGAGTATTGGTAGTGGTAGTGAGGGTAATGGCAGTGGCAGTGGTCGCGATCGTGGTAGTGGCAGTGGTAGTGGTTGTGGTGATTAGTAACTTTTGTAGTAATTGAGAAACTGATGTTGTTGCTGTGGTTGTAACCAAAAGCATATCTCCACGAAGGCATATCATGACAGTCGATGCTACTGCCGTCGACAACCTCATTGCATACCATTGCATATCGCTTCGATCATTGCCGTCGTCTTCATTACATGCTACTGGCATGAAATTCGTGGCCTGAGTCGCTAGTCATTTTGGGTTGAGAAACATACTGCATCAGAAAGAGAAGCCGGCAAATGGTCCTAACCATCCGGATAAGCTTGCTCTGAGGGCAGGACGTTGTAGAGGTGGCCATCCTTGCCTCGGCGCGCTATGAGGCGTAAGGTTGAGAGCATGGGTTGCCTGGCTCGCATACCGGACAGCCGCACTTGAACACCGGGCAGGGCAAGAAATCTTTGTATTCACACGTGCAGCCCGAGACACCGCACATGAGAAGATGCCCCTGATCAACGTAAGCAACGTAAGTCATCTGCTGCTGCGGATTCCTTCGGACTGTGACATGAAGAAAGCTGTCGGGCTTGGGGGGTTGCTGCAGATAGTTTACACGAACTGATGCAGCGATATGCTCCAATTTCGGAAGGAAGCAAGACAAGCCGGATGAGTGGCTCATTCATCAGACAAGATGGGCTTGGTAGATGTTCACTACATCCGCCTCAAAATTCAACGTTGGCTGCACATTGCCTTTGTCATGCCTGATCAGTGAGCCTGATCAGCCTGGTGACTGCTTTTCAAATCAAACAAAGCAGCTTTTCTCAACCCATCTTCCCTCTACACATTTCCTCCACTATATAACATAGTTTAGAAACGGAACACTCGCAAACACTCACGGACCCACAACCTCCGACACCTCGCCCGAATTTGTGCCGCCACGGGTCTTGCCAAAGACCACAGAGCTACTTTTCACCTCATGTGTGGCTTGCCGGTACCTTGAACCGCTGCGCAGGGATAAGCAAAGTGGATCGAGGAAGTAACCCATAACCTGAAGCCAAAACAACTCAAGGGCTGGAGCTAATGGAAAACACGGGTCAGGGGGGCCTGAGAAGAACAATAAGCCAGCGATCCGTAGTGCGTTGACCAGCACAGCAGGATCTTGTCCCAGATCGTTAATTCGGGTCAACACTTCTTTACGCGGTTACCCATAGGCCCTAAAGTAGTTCCTATTTGGGGTTCATATACAGAATCCTATAAGGTAACCCCAAACAGAAACTACTTTAAGGCCTATGGGTACCCTGTGCGAAGAAGGCTCAGCCCTCTGAATAGCTAAACGATGCGTGATAAGAGTGCATGACAAGACCTCACATCATGCCAAACAACTACCCGTCTGCCTACACAATTACAAAGTTTACTTGAAAAAACGGGTACTGTAGGAACCAATTACAAATCACTGACAGACAAGTCCTAGCCAAGATAGCCCAACGTTTAAGTCCGCTCTGGCGGAACCGAACAAACGATTCGGTGCCAGTTTAACGATTTGGTGCCGGTGTAAATTTTGCTCGCAAGTTCACACAAAAAAACGATGTCTCCTTGCAAGGCTTTAGCGCGCCATGTTGAACTAAGCGGGGCTGAGTTAAAACCCAAGATAGGACAAAGACTTCGGGGTGTCAGGCGAAGTTCGACGGTCAACAACTCTACCTGCAGAGCCCGACAGCATTCAAGATTTAGGTTTTGCATTGTTCTGGCTTATTTGGGGATCAAGGTTCAATTGACCCTAAACCCTAAACCCCAAACCGATCCTGAACATTGACTAGAAAGACTCCGAAAGGAGACTCCAACATCACCTGTCATGTGGAAACTTCAGACTCGATCTCGAAGACAAACCAAGTAAACCTGCTGCTCGAAGCCTTCTGGTTCAGATCCTAAACCCCAAAACCGCGAACATAATGCAGCATACGTCAATATAGTATAATATAATATAGTATGACATAATATAACATAATACAATACAATACAATATAATCTAATATAATCTCATATAACCGAAGATAACCTAATATAACCTAATATAACATAATACAATATAACATAAGATTAGGGTATTCTATGCCTGAAACCCGGAGAGCCAGGAGGCTCCCAAAGCTTTACCGCCGTCTTCGTCAGCGCCGCAAAGCGGAATCCTCCATCTCCGTCGAAGGGATTCGGTACCATCATCTCCTTGCTTAAGAACCACTTCCACGGTTTAGGGTTTAGGGTTTAGGGATCTATACTATAGGGATCCTAAACAGTCAGTAATCCCGAAAAAGGAACTACAATGGAGGCTTCGTATTTAGGGTTTAGGGTTTGCGGGGACTAGGCCGGATCAGCGCACAAACCCTAGTTAAACCGGAACCCGAGATGCCTGGATGTCTGAGCTGCTTGAGAGGACTTAATGCTCAGAAGAAGGGTTTGGGGTAAAGTACAATATGCTATGATTGTAATAAGGAGCCCTCTGGAAAATTCCCTATATCAGTCTTTTCTGATGCGTAGCGGCATAAGTTGGTTTGGGGTTCTAAGGCTTTTGGCAAGGGTGGCATGCTTGACAGCTGCTTTGTATGGACGCTCGGGCCTTGCTTCCTCTCTCAACATCCGAAACAAGCCCTGAAGACTATCGCCGTAAGGCGAACATGAAGGCAGCTCCGGCCCCAAACCCTGCAACGATATGGGTAGTTCTCTTAAATTAGGGTCCCCGTTCTTAGTACTTGTTGGAACTACAGTAAGTGGGTCGGAATTCAAAAGGCTAATGATTCTGTGTACAGTAAATCGTCCATGAGATTCCCATGCAGGGCTGTAGGCCTTGCACCACGTCGAAAGTATCTCGCTACGAGGACGCAACACTGTGACCGGATGCATGACAAACCTCCGAAAAAGCGCAGCTTCTAGCTCGCTTCAGTAAAGAGACCCTGCTGCCAAAGGCTCGCATGGGTTCCCCCCGGGCCCGATCAGCAGAGCGGGTACCTTGATGACCTGGGTAGGCTTTGGTTTTAGGTGTAGTAGTTTGGGTCCCAAAATTTCCTTGTGGTCTGTGGCGGTTTAGGGTGACCGATCATGGACGTTCAGGGTTTCAGGGTCCGCCATACAGGGCGAAGAGCTTCCTGATTCGTGCTGTGTCGGGTGTTGGGGTTAAGAGTTAAGGGTGTAGGCTTCAGGATTTACGGTACGCTGGTAAAGAGTTCCCGGGAATGTGAAAGTTTTCAAGACTGGGTATGTTTGCGCTTCCGGGAAAAGTATGATGGTTATAATGAGCTTGTCGCCGGCCAAGCAAGGATAGTTCTAGTATCATGTGAGGGTTTCTTGAGATTACTCCGCCGACGCACTCGCGCCGAATGTACTTGCAGATTCTCGACGACAGGACACGCTTACCAAAGACAGAAACCCAGTTCTTCGAAGCACACGGCTGTAGTAGAGCAGTGTTGGGAGATCTTCCAGAGCTTCTGAATGAAAATTCGTGGACAGAGCCAGGGTCTACGAGGCAGAAACTTCCACCGACTTTGCAACACCTATCAGCAGTATGGATGTCGGAATGTCGTTCCGCCTGCTGCATCAGCTTTGGGCCACCGCGATGTGGAAGTCTTGCGTTTCCGGTTGGAGTCCCACACTAACAAGCTGCGACCACTCAATATCTAAGCGAAATCTTTGCACCCGACGGACCGCTTCGGTGCATCTGGTCGAAATGGCGCCTCCCGGCCACGCATCAAGAGCATCAGCTGGAACTGCTCGTGCGTGTTGGATCGAAATCAAGCCAATAAGCTGGGACCGTGTCGCATTATGCATCAGCTGGGAACGCTCCTAGATATCTGACAAGCCCCACAACCCGTCCGCTGCGAGCCCGGGTTAGTGTAGCTGACCGAAATCGGGTCCCACAACCACGCATCAGCAGCATCAGCTGGGACAGCTCCTGTCTCTCTCGTCGAAATCGCGTCACACAGATGCGCATCACGCGCATCAGTTGGGACCATTTCAGCGAGATCGCAAAACAGTGTGAGCATCAGCTGGGAGCGTACCTGACCGGAACCAAACATGATGAGCATCAGCTGCGACCGCTCGGTGTAGCTGTCCCAATTGGAACCCACAGCTCGCCAGGGGCCCAGGTGAAACGGGTGTGTGGCCTCAATTCCAGGCAGGTCCAAGCTGGGCCTCAATCCCACGCAACCAAGCAGTATCAGCATCAGCTGGGAATGCCACAGTTGGATCCCAAGGCCACACACCATGAGCATCAGCTGGGACGATCCTAGGAATGTACAGCCACGCATCATGAGCATCAGCTTGGACCGCTCCCAGCGCACCTGAACGAATTCAAAACCTACAGCCGCGCATCATGAGCACCAGCTGCCAGAGCCTGAAAATGTTTGACCGGGGCCGAACCCCGTAACCAGCAACACGAGCATCAGTTGACCCGGTGCCCTGTACTCGACCGAAATACAAACAGTACAGCCAAGCATCATAAGCATCAGCTTGGACACCTCCCGGCGCACCAAACCTACAGCCTCGCAGCATGAGCATCAGCTGCCAGCGCCGTGAATGTTTGACTGAGACAAAACCCCACAACCAGCATCATGAGCATCAACTGGGCCTCAGTTGAAGTAACTGACTCAACTGACCCAAATCAAATCCTACGCATCAGATTATCAGTTGGCAGCGGCCGTGAAGATTTCTTCACCGAGACCGAGCACCACGACCAATGATTTTGACAATCAGCCGGAACCGCTCCGAGGTACGTGGCCGAATACAAACACCACAACCACGGGTCATGAGCATCAGCTCCAGCGTGTCGGACACGCATCAGTTGGGATGATCCCTATATCGACATCGTGCCTCACAGCCATACATGGGCTTGAGCTGGGACCGCTCCTAGACATCTGAAGGGACACCTGCACAAAGTCAGCTGGGATCGCTTTTAGGTACGTGAACACCGCAACCAAGCATTATCAGCATCAGCTGGACATGCAACAGCTGGATCACACAGCCACACATCATGAGTATCAGCGGGACGATCCTAGCAATGTCAAGAATCAATCCAACGAAGAATTATGAACATTGCCACCACTCAAGCGCTGCGGTGTATCTGACCCACTTCGATTTCCAGCAGCCACACATCACGAGCAAGCTGGGGCCGCTCCGGCGTATCTGTACCTCACCGACATTGGAACCAACGGCGAGGCATCACTGTGAATGAATATAGCGAAACCGACAGATCCCGATATAGCTAAGCATTGAGCATCAGCTGGAAACACTCCTAGATGTCTGACCGAAACCAAGCATTATGACCCTACAGCCACGCATCATGAGCATCAGCTTGGACCGCTCCCGGCGCACCTGAACCGAATTCAAAACCTACAGCCACGCATCATGAGCATCAGCTGCCTGCGCCTGTAAAAGTTTGACCGGGGCCGAACCCTGTAACCAGCAGCATGAGCATCAATTGGCACCAACCGCAAACATTTTACCAAAATGGATCATCACCCGGCGCCCTGCTGTACTTGACCGAAATACAAACACTACAACCAAGCATGATGAGCATCAGCTTGGGCCTCTTCCGGTGAACGAAACTGGACCTTAGCTGATGTTTTTGACTCGAACCAAATCTTGCACAGCCAGGCGTCCTGAGCATCAGCTCGCAGCAGCCGTACATATTTTACAGACCGAGCCCCACGACCAAGCATTCTGAGCATCGGCCAGAACCGCCCCGATGTAGCTGACAACAACTTGTCACAAGCATCAGTTGGGATCGCTTCCGGTGTGTCAGACGCGCATCATGTCATGTGCAGCCGAGACAGGACTGTTGGTGGTGGGACCCGGCAGGTCCACACGAGCAGAACAAACAGACTGACCACCTTCACTCATGCTGCTCTTGAAAGCGATCAGCATCAGCTGGGATCGCTCCTACTGGTAGGTATGTGAGCACCACAAAAAAGGCAGAATCAGAATCAGCTGCCGGGAATGCTCGGTGTACTGACAGAGATTGGGTCCCACAGCCACGCGTCATGAGCGTTAACGTGGATCGATCCTAATAGGAATGTCCAGAATCAACGCAACCAAACATTGGAAGCATTGCGACTGCTCCGGAGTATCTGATTGGAAACAAACCAAAATACCCAAGGACCAGGCATCATGAGCATGATGAGACCGCTCCGGCATATCTGACCCAAACCGAACGTGATGAACATCAGCTGCGACCACTCCGGCGTACCTGACCGAAATTGGAACCCACGGCGACGCATCATATTGTATCTTATACACCAAAACCGAAAGAACCCCACGGCCAACCGTTATGAACATTAGCTGGGATCGCTCGCGGGTATGTCACCAAAACAAACAAAGCCCACTGAGCATCGGCTGGAACCGCTCCAGGTGTCTGACCGAAACTAAGCTCGCAAGCAAGCATTATGACCCTACAGCCACGCATCATGAGCATCAGCTGCCAGTGCCTGCAAATGTTTGACCGCGGCCGAACCCCGTGACCAGCATCATGAGTACCAGCTGGGACTTAGCTGATGTTTTGGACTCGAATCAAATCCTGCACAGCCAGGCGTCCTGAGCATCAGCTCGGAGCGGCCGTAAATATTTCACAGACCGAGCCCCACCACCAAGCATTCTGAGAATCAGCCGGAATCGCCCCGATGTAGCTGACAACAACTTGTCACAAGCATCAGCTGGGACCGCTCCGGTGTGCGTCGGGCACGCATCATGTGATGTGAAACAATCGGGATAATCCCTAAAATCGACAAGGGACCTGGACATCTGAACGGACACCCGAACGAAATCCAACCCAAAGCACTATGAGCATCAGCTAGGATTGCTGCTAAGTATGCGAGAACCAAAACCAGCATTATCAGCATCAGCTGCTGGAAATTCTCGGTGCACTGACAGAGATTGGATCCCTCAGCCAGGCGTCAGAAGCGTCTATGAGGATCAATCTAACAATATCAAGAATCAACGCAACCAGGCACAATTATGAGCATTGCGACCGCTTCGGTGTATCTCATCGGGAAAAACCCAAACCCAACAACCATGCATCATGAGCATGAACTGCGACCGCTCCGGTGTATGTGTCTGACCGAAACCAAGCCCAGAAGCGAGCATGATGAGCAGCAGCTGGGACGCAGCCGTGCATCATGAGCATTGGGCCAGCGCTCGTAAATGTTGGACCGAGAACGAACCCAATAGGCCACTCATGATGAGCATCAGCTGGGATCGCTCCTAGGTCCTAGGTATGTCAGCAGATAAGATCCCACAGCCACGCCTCATGAGCACCAGCAGGATTGAAACAGGACTGTCAAGAACCAGTCTTTGTGAACATTGCGACCGCTCCGGTGTATCTCATCGGAAAAAGCAGAACGCAACAACAATGCACCATGAGCATGGGACCTCTCCGGTCTATCTGCAAGCAAAACCCTCGTTATGCTCAATGGGGTCATCGCGAAACAAGTTGATGCTTTACACAGAATCCAGGCTGCTAAAACGGCCATTGACTTTCGATTCCAAGAAGCCGAAGCCATCGTGCAGTGTTAGGGGCTGCCGCTGCTGAACCTATGTTACTAGCTATACCCCTGCAAGATTCCATGGGAACACTCTTCAGGAGGGCACGAGATGACCAATGTCAAAATCCCCGCTACTACAGTCTAACTCTAACTACCACACCCAAACGACTCTCAGCCAGCGGCATAAGTATGCGTTGGCTCGCTCTTGCGACGTCGAGCCTGAATGAAGTCTGGGGCTGCAGCTAAGGCAGCTTATTGTATTATATTGTATTATATTATATTATATTGTAAGTTTGATCCCAATGCTGTCTCCAAGCCCACTCCGTTTGCGCTGACTCCAGGATGGACAAGATGAAAGCAGCTGAGACGAGTGTTGCAAACGTTGCGAAAGTTTGCTGCTACCTTGTACCTGGCACCCACCTTCACCGCAGGCCCCCCCAATTCCGACCATCTCAATTCATCGGTCTGACTCGCGAAGCCTCTTCCAGTCAGGGGTGTGAGTTTAAGGTGTAGGATTGGGAGATATCTCGCTTGCAAGCTCCTACAATGCATGGATGCAGCAGCAGGGGTCTGGACCCCCCCCCCCCCCCCNNAAAAAAAAAAAGGCCAGGCGTGTGTCCCTGCTGCAAAAATCGCGCCAAGCTCCAGGACGCGACATGCCCCTCAACCCGACTTGTGTGTCGCGGGCTTCTGAATCCCCTTGCGCGTCGAAGAGCACAACTCCTAGTGATAAAACTGCTAGAATCTTCCGACAGTGCATCCTGGTCGCCACGTCTGCCGGCAGGTGGTAAAGACAAATACCTGTCATGTTTGACACCAACATCGAAGTCCCATCATCCTCCCTTTACCATACTCAACATCACCAGCCTTAGCACCATAATTATCGTCGCCGCCGCCCGACGATAACAATGATTTCATCATCATGGTTAACCATCAGCATCACCGTCACGATACCTGCATACTCACCACTTAACAAGACTGCCACACACCACCATCAACGCCGCCACCGCCGCTGCCGCCCCAACCACCACGGCAAGCATCAGGGTCATCATCATCGTCGCCACTGCGCTCGGGATCGAACCAAGGCTTCGATACGGTTCAGTTCAGGCTTGCGCCGAAAACTATTGACATCCTTGCCCCGAGCCGCACGCGGGTTTAGGTCTTCGTTGGCTTCGCATGGTGGACCAAGCGAGGCTCCAATGCAGCCGGCCAGCTTCGGCGGATTACGAATGTGGATACTGTCATGACCTCAAGTGCTCGTTCCAAGAAGAGCCGGAAAGACTTTTCTTCTCATCCAGCGCTGACATAGCCGCAAAGCGGCCATTGCCTGTGGGCAGTTCCGGCGAGATGGGTCTTTAACGATATAACCATCGCGGTGGTGTTTGAGGACTCTCCAATGCTCAGGATTTCATGGGAGCCTGTAACCTAATCATGCATAAAAGCAGGAATCTCATTTGCATCGCAAAACATAAAGAACAATGGACCTGGAAAGAGCACGTACAAGCCTCACAATCCTGCTGCACAAGCCTCTTTGGTCGTATCTGCCGACAATACTTTCAGAACCGAGAACACGTGTATTGGATCCCGACACCGCGCACGAGGTATCCCCAAGCTTGAATCCACACCAAGCCGTATTTGCACGACATTTACTGAGTCGCTGCGTGTCAATTCCTGGATGATCCTGGATTGTGGCTGAACCTATGTGTTGCGGAAGACGGACAAAGCCCCGTTATCTTGGGTCAGAGCTCAGATTTTGATCAGAATTGCTTGCCTTTCGGATACTGCTCTTGACGAACTTAGGCTGACTGCCAGGAGTCTGCTGGAGCACAGAGCCTAGGGATCGCTTTGTGCCGGTTAGCGCCCGAAGTTGCCACAGGAAGGCTGGTGATGCGTCAACATGTCCACCACGAATCTTGAAACCAGAATGCAATAGTATTGAGTCGAACAGCAGCGAAAATGATGGTTCTGATTGTGATGATTCGGTGGAGACGATGGTCGCGGTTGTGATGATTGCTGTTGTAATGGTCTTGGTGGCAGCTACCGAATGTTGGACCATATTCATATGGGTGATGTCGATCATGACTAATGATGGGAAATACGAGTATGAAATTTGACACAATGAACATGAATCAGAAGAAAGACACTAATAATTCTGAGTGGTACCTGTAATGACGCAAACGAGAATGTTTACGAGTGTGAGTGATGCTATTTCCCGCGTGTGGTCACACTTCGGATTTCAATTTCTGAAGTTCAAGGTCAAGTGTCAGCGCGAAGCAGTGCGGCATCGACATCCTGCCGTTCTGAGGGCGAAGCTCCCGTCATAAGGCCTTGCAAAATGCTGGGCGAATCCTCGTTCCGCCACAGTCCCGCGCGTGTCCGTCGCCTGAAATCGTGCTCCCGCCACAGCCTTGAAGATTTGGTGTGCATCTCGTGTCTCGGCATCTCAAAATCGTGCATTTTGGACGGATGTTTTTTTCATAGACCAGCTCCTGCTGATGGTATATAAAGAAGAGGAAGCTGATATGCAAACGAAGGCGAAGATGAACATGAAGGTCAATGTGAATGGACGTACAGCCAAACTCATGACGACGATCCGGGCCAGGATGACACTAACAACAATTATAGTTGTCTTTTTCTTCTCTGGATAGTCCGAGGAATGACAGAACTCAGATGCTTCGTGCAGAAATCTTCGAGGATGCTCCAAGCCCCAGGCTCGCAATGGCCACGGAAACAATGCTCCGAAGCGGCACCTTTCTGAGTTATGGTTTAGCGATTTGGGGCTGGAGTGTTCAAGGATTCAGGATGTTTAGCTCCAAGCTCGGCAATATTTATTCACCCTGGAAGTACCTTAAAGCCTGCGACCTCGACTCTGAAAGATTATCTCTGTGCGTATGTGTGCGTGTCTAGCCTATTCGCACAGTACGGGCGGTACACAGCGGGGTGAGGCGATGCTATATAAGGTCTAACTGAGCTAGGATGATGGCCACAAGGGCATGCTGCTTCAAGCTGCAAGCGCCGACCTGTCAGGTTTGGGATGTCTGCAAGACTAGGCCGCCCAAAACAAAGCTCGCGCCCGCTGCGCCTCCACCATTGTCTTCGGATCAAACCTGGGTCAGGGGCAAAGTGCCTCCTCCAAGGATTTCTGCTAACTAGCACATAGTATCTACGAATATATCCTCGGTATACAGATGACTGAGAGTCTTCTCTAAGTGTTCATCGTGAACCCGGGCCACGGTTGACTGGCGGAGAACGGACAGACCAATGCTGTTTGCTCTCAGTGTTCAAGCATCTTTATGGTTGGTTGACTACCGGGGAGCGAAACAATATCGCAGCTGATCTTCTATCACCGACCGCCCTGGCCAGAACCCATCAACCACAACCGCGCATCTCTCCCTCCCGGAGATGGCTCATGTATCCTCCAAAAGCAACGCACAGCCAAGTACATCATCCTTCTGACTGGCCAATTTGCACTATCGATCATTTTTGTGTTCATAAAAATATGTATATATATATATATATATGTATGTACATATATATATATATATAATATGCATGTATATGGATAGATAGGCAGATAGAAACACAACAGATATACATTATAGTATATGGGTTTATGCCGATATACAATAAAACACACAGATCTGTGGTGTGTATACATATATATATACATATAAGTAAGCCTGCAATATGAGTATACATGTGTATATATGAATGATATAATTCAATACAGTAGTATCCTACAACAAAAATCTATATAGTATCAGATCATATAAGATAACAGAGTAGACCAGAATTCAATATAATCTAATTCCGTCACTTAGTCTACTAATGCAACCATAAAATATAGTATAGTTTAAGGAAGTATACTTGATATAATATGCTGTACTATAGTGGAGTGGAATGTAACATAGTAAGATGTAATCTATAGTAATATGTAGTATATGAGTATATACCTCACATCCCACACCGAGCATTTCAGAGGCAGCCACTCGGGGGGCAGGTCGATGTAGCTGCTGTCTGCCCCATACTGCAATCGGGGAGGAGGATTGCCACCTGGATCTGTTCAGGGTTTAGGGGCTTAGGGGTGCAAGGTTCGCGTGGTGTCAGAGATTGAAACTTACAGGATTCTGGGATGAAGGAACCAGGGTTGGGCCTTCGAGGCCAGGGTCTGAAGCCCAGACGCGCAGGCAGCTGTAAAAGCCGTGAAGACAGGAAGACTTCTGCATTGGACTAAATGGGTCTTCAGGCCCCATCATGCTCGAACTTGCTAATGTGCATACATGTATATAATATAATATAATATCATATCATATCATATCATATCCTATAATATAATATAATATAATATAATATGATATAATATAATATAATATAATATAATATAATATAATATAGTATAATATAATGTAATGAAATATAATATAGTAAAATATACTATAACATAATATAACATAATAAAAAAATAAAATAACACAATATAACATAAAACAATACAATAAAATATAATATATATATATATATGTATATATATATATATATATGTATAAACATACGAACCTAAGCCCGCAAACGAACTTCCCATATCCCAATAACTTCCGCAAAATGCGTGAGTTCCCGGGTGCCTTTTCGTTCCTGGTAGCATCGTAGCCTCGGGGACGGCTGTCGGCTTGCTGTTGCGGTTTGCTCTGCAGCTTAACTTTTTGAGGAATTCGGGGTTTGCGTGATCCAATGGCTGGCGGGGACAGCAGGCTCTCACTCGCCCATTGCCCATTGGCCTAGCCTAAGACCGATTCTCGTGCAGACTGTCCGAGATTGAGAGAACTTGGAGAACATTTTTGGATGAAGCGAACGACGGTTGGAGGAAATCGTGAGATCGCATGAGCGATATAGAATCAGCAAAAGCGTGGGAACGTCAACGAGACTGTGTCCCTGATTTCTGCTTAGCCTCTGCCCCCCATGTCGCGCGTTTGTCTTCTTCTCCGTGATTCCTGCAACTCACTGGAAAAACAGGAGATGGGCGGGGGACCACCTTCGTGCGCTGGAACGGCCAGTCATCTGGCTCAAACTGACACAAAAAGCACATTACAGAGATGACGCCAACTTGGTATTATCCAGAAACTGGAGTAACTAAAAGAAGAGGGCGTAGGGCGTAGAGTCACCAGCTTGTCTCGTTCTCGTTCCCAAGATGCTGAACCCATGCTGCCATCAACTGCCGCTGGCCTGAAAGTAAACGAAACAAAGGCTTGCCAGCTACAATAAAGCACATCCAGCCCAATAATTGCCTGATTTCAGGCGAAACAGGCGGCACACTCAAGTGAAGACTAGTCCTCAACCTGTACATCCAAACGCTTAGTACGTAAGCTTGATGTCTGAATAATCGCACCTGAATCAATCAGGGTTTTACTCTTGGTCCCCATCATGGGTTGAGAGCTGTTGAAAATGATCATCATGATGGTAAACAAGAAGCGGGCAATGACCAAATGGATGCTGCTGGTGACAAGTAACCAATTCGCTTCGTGACGACGATGGTGACGAGAGCCCGGATGATGAAGATGGTGCTGAAGCTGTTTTATAGCGTTTTACCAATGCCATGATTGCACTTTCATACATTGGACATGGAAAATCAGACAGGCCAAAGGTGCCCCAGATATTCAGAAAGCTTGGCATGGTTTATTGAAAGCACCGAATGTTTGAAAGAAGTGCTGGCAAGGCAATTCTCGCAGTGTACCATTGCGCGTGGCGCGATGCCCGGCACTGCTTAGGAGAGCATTAACTTCGAAACGACTAGACATGTTGAACGCGCTGTCATGCCAATGTGCTGTTCGTACCCCCCCCCCCCCCCCCCCCCNNCCCCCCCCCCCCCCCCGCCCAGTTTTAGCTCCTCAACCGTGAGACATAAAGCCCACCAGCCCAAAATCCCGAAACTGTACAGCTCAAAGCCCGGACACTAAGACCCCAAAGCCTTGACCTAAACCCCCAAGCCCTGCCCCAAACAAAAAACGAAGCCTCGTAAACCCCAAATCCCTAGCCTGGGCTCCCCCACTCTGCCAAAGGCCTCGAGGGAAAGCTGGGAGACCAGACCTGGGCCGACATCTCCACGGTTTAGGCCACAAGGAACCTGGGGTTGAGCTTTTCATAGGGCTCAGGGTTTTAGTGTTCAGGGATTCTGCGCATCAAGGGCTTCAGGATGTCTAACGTCATGGCCTGTTGGTCCTGGGTTCCAGGGATTAGCGTCGAAACGCGGGTGAGGTTCTATGTGGTCGGGTGTGAGGGGGCCTCATCTAGGTAAGTTGGCAGTTCTTTTAGCAAGTCTCTTAGCAAGAACCTTCATCAACACCAAACTCCTCCGAATCAGCTTCTTCCCTTGCAGTCCAATTCTCCTGCATTGCGATGCAAGTAAGTGCTCAGATACTAGTTCCTAGTTCCGTCTGAATCCTTGGACCTTGGAGGGAACCAGTTGCGATGTGGGGACCGGATTGCCCAAAATAAGTATAGATCTGCAAACTGTCGAATTGCGTCGTAGTTATGGAGACGACATGCTGGTCTTCGCATGTGGCGAAACGAACACGCATGTAGCCGCGACTCGAGAAACGGGGAGTGTAACCTAGGGCGGCGCGATTTCTCGCTCCAGTCCCAGAAAGTCAGACTGCTCAATTGAATCTGAGCGTCGTGGTCGGAACTGTAAGCCCCGAAACTCCACCATATGCACAACGCAAACAGATCGATATTGCCGTGGCTGAGAGCAAAGCACATGCGAAAGGGCAGCCCTCTCCTGGTGGGTCCTTCATAGCAGAACAGCTCGGGAGACCGACTATGCTAAGCTATTTGCCAGCGGCGGTGTGCCTTGTATGGTTGTCGTCCAACCCCCTGAGTGAAAAAGCAAACTCCAAAGCTACTGGAACATTCACCTTGCAAGAATATGGTGCTGCAGGTCCTTTATTGTGAACCTCAACGCTTCAGAAATTACCAGTCGAAAGACAGGCCTGCTGCCCGCTGATGGCCAGGTGATGAGCCTGCCACCAGTTTGCTTGTTTGCTTGCTTCTGGACTCCTTCGGTGGTATTGCTCTTATGCGGTGGCTGCTCCTTAGATCATTGCTGCCAGGACCGAGTTTTAGAGTATCGCGCCCAGGGGCTGAGCAACGGTCCGTGCTGCAGGTTTGGGGAGGAGTAGTGCCGTTCTGGACTCACGATCCGAAATCTGAGAAGCCCTGCATGACGAATGCTGGCCATTGTATTCGGGTGGCACAAGGTCGAATACGGCAAGGAACATGGTGTTGGTGACGGTGATAACAGTAATGATGCGGATGAAATTATTCATGAGGCTGATGAGGATGCTGATGCTGGATGATTGTGTTGGTGCTGGGCATGACCATGGGAGACTGCTGGATTCAAGGGGGAATTGGTGAGGCGAGGCCTGACTGTCCGTGTACACGCCATGGGCAGCTGCCTCGCTAATTGCTACCGGTCCCTTGATTTTTCACAAAATATGTATATCAGTGCGACTGACACTATGGTTATGACTATGCTGAGGACAAGTATATATGTCTTTCCGTAAGCGAGACTCCAAAACACCCTCAGACAAAGGCCAACCAAAGACGCCCATCGGCTTCTCCGCACGCCTACGACAGGATTCGCCTACTGAGACCATACTCCCTGTGTCCTCGATAAACCACCCTCTGACCGACCTTGCACCGAAGACATGAGCCGTAAACCTTCTCCTCAAACACTCCTGCAGGTGCAAGCCTCCGAGTAGGAGAGGCAAAGAACATCGCTGTTGTGCCCCTGGGGAGCAAGGCATAGCAATGCCAAGCATTCTGCCGTGTAAGTCGTACTAATCCACACCCCTTGGCCTAGGGTCGCAGCAAGAGGAATGCTGGCCTATTGATATTGACTGGAGTGGGGTCACAGCGTCAGGGACACTCAGTTTCAGCACATGTCAGACGCAAGCCACGAAGAGTGGTCAAAGAAGCCAGAGGTTTTGCAAACCGCGGTGACGACACTCTGTGCCTGAGGCTGGACTGTGTCAAACAGTAGTCTGCGCACATTTGGAGTTGCTGATTCGCGAACAAATCCAATCAAGCACCACCTCCAAAAACCCTTAGCAGCTTGAGCCCGTGCCGGTTTCGAAAACGCATTGGGAAATCAAATACTTGCCAAGGTCATCAGCTCCGAGGGTCTTGGCCTATCTGCTAATGCGCTATGCATGTTCGTTTGGTGTTTAGGGCTTCCTGTCAGGGCTTGTCTGCACGTCACGTTTTCCTGCCGTTACGGGTTCAGGGCATTTCATGTTGATTCGCAGAGTCCAGCTTCTCGGATTGGGAACCAGTCCAAATTCCCTACCCTTGAAGCTAACGGCTTCCAGCCGCGATCTGAATATGAACATGGGCCCTAAACCCTACGTTAAAATACCCGACTTTAAACCGTAGCCGGAGCTTCGGCCTGCCTCGAAGAAACTCTGCCGCGATTCTCGGAGATCCTCCCAGTCTGAAGCATGCCGAGTTGTGTGGTGTACAGTAGTACAGAAGCCTGAATAATTGCCAATACTAATTATTCCTTATGACAGTAAGTAGTACATAACACCACACCCGAACAAAACAAATCTCAGAACTATCGCCTTTGTTCGGTTTGGAGCCAGGATTCAAGAGGCAAATATCGGGTGGAAAGTCCGTGGCTGCTTGCATGTTGTGAAAGCCTTCTGACGTTCAGGGATAAATATAAAATATACAGATATATACATATATACATATATACATGTATACACATATGCTACGCCCTCCAAAACCCCACGTGTAGAACACGCATGTAGTTGTTTGACATAGTTTCGTTCATAACGGGGTAGGGGCCACCCTCCCAACTTGACTAGTTAGTTGCTTCTCCCGTATTAAGAGCCAACCTAAAGTTAAGCATGGTTTTCTGTGCTGGACAATGTGTAAGACTAAGGGCCACTATATTGAATTTGTTCGTTCCTCACTGGGATATTGTAAGAACTGGCTGTACGTTTGGAAGTTTCGCAGAAAACATTTCCTCAACTACTGCTTAAACCCACACTGCGATTCTGCGATCCACGGCTTTAAGTGGCGCTCTAGGTTCCTCTGCTTTGGTTCGACATTGAAGGCGGTCCGAGATTACCACTGCAGTCAACATGGCATGATCGCCCCAACCACTGACTCCACTGCCCCATTCGTCATCATGAGCAATACTAGTAGAAAGTAGTAAGTAGCAGAAACAA